TTTTTTTGGTGGTATTTGATCGCCTGTGTGGTTTTTATTTTTTTGCAAATAAAAATAAAAGATCGACAATTTTGAAAAAATAACAATAATTTAGACTTTTTGCTATTACCTCCTTGGCGGTATGATTATATCCGATTATTTGCGCTGAAAGCGGTGGTGGTACCATTTTTTTTGCATGGAAATGTGTAGTTTTTTTTATTGTAGGCTGTAAATTTTTAGGAATAACTCACTGAAATCTGTACGAACAAGAGTCTAGTAAACATCCCGGGTAGGATAAAATTTGAAACACGAAATCATAAATTACAAAATAATTTAAATAAATTAATCATAAAAAATAATAATATAATAATAAATAAATTTAAATTCAATAATATAATCAAACCAAAAACACTGAAATTTGAAATACAGAGGCAAATTCGCACATCGCTGAGCAAAGTCGCAAAAATCGTTTTCAGTGTTGTCTGATGACGAATTTCCCCACGAATCATTATCACTCAATTCTGCAAGTGGTTTGATTTACTATCGCTGTTCTCTAGCTGGTCTAAAACCGTTTTTGACGTAAAGGGACGCTTATTGGACGCCATTGACTTTTCTAAGTTTAACAGGCAGAAAGAACAGTCAAAATGCAGGCAGGGCACAGGACAAAGCAGTAGGGACAAAATGTATGTGAAATGCATTGAAACAGCAATGTTTTACTATGTAATAATTTTTTAAAAAAATGACTTTTTTTAAAAATTTCAAATTTGCCGCCGGTTCCGGTGAACCCGTACGTCCTGACGTCACAGGGGACCGGAACACGGAAGCCAGATGCCGGCATCGGCCGAGGAGATGGCCGGGGACGCTGCAGGGGACACATCGTGGGAGCGAAGGACAAGGTAAGCGCTGCAGGGACTCCCCTGAGCAATGCCGCATGGTAAAACCCGTGTAGCTCGGGTTTACCGCTCTTTGGTACTCAAATTTTACCCGAGCTACACTCGGGAAATACCGCCAAGGAGGTTTAAACATGGCCCAGTAAAAAAAATTTAAGGGAAAAATCTAATTTGTCAAAAAATTTAGGCCAAAATGTAATATCTGCTACATGTCTTTGCAAAAAAAAAAAAATCCCAATACGTGGTACAGTAAATTAATTTGTTCGCATGATCAGTGCTAATAAAAAGACACTGTACTAATGGCACTGGGCATGAAGGGGTTAACTTGTGGGGCTATCAGGGTCAACTGTGTGCTGTGTGCTGTTTTACATTTAGTTCTGTTTTTGTGCTTCACTGGAAGAACACTGCTTTGCATGGCTCTGCTGTGCACAACCATGCAAGTAGTGTGCAGAAGCTGACAGGGAAGAGAACTGTTTTTTTACTAACAGTTTTCTCCCCCCTGTCGGAGATCCTCAGCAATCACCGGGCCTGTGAGAGTAATTAAAGACCTATATTCATGGCGGCAAATGGTGGCATGAGTAGGGCGTATGCGCACCCCCTACCTGGAGGAAATGCGAAATCTCTGTATATTACACATGATTTTGCACACAGCTGCCGCCCTGTAGCATTATTTTTGTTATGGGGCGGGGCTAAAGTGGATAAAAGCTAAACATTGTAAACATAAAGACTAATTAACTATAAACATAATTTTCAATACACTTCAAATGTGTTTACCTGATGTATACTGAAAGATCAATTTTCAGTATTGCTACAATATGAATGTTTCTGTATACTACTGTATATCTTGCAGAGATCCTGATGGTCTTACAGCTGATCTCAAGACACACACATATAAATACATAATAAATAAATGGTAGCTGTTTTAACTGCAAAAGTAACTGTATTTCTGTCAGTCACAGCATAGTCATGTCTAGCAGAGAAGGGACCCTGATTTTTCACTGTTGCAGTTCACTTTCACTTACAGGTCTTCCTACCCTGTTACTGAACAGTTGAAAGGAGCAGCAGCACAAAGACTAAGCTCATCTCTCAAATTTATGCCCTTTCTGCTTCCATCAGCACAATGTTTCTTGTTTATCCCCCATTCTGAACTCTGCTGTAGAGGGCCTGAAAAGGGATGATACCAAGTTATATTCAGTAAATTATGCTGATTGCATTCACAGAGCTGAATTATTTGTGCTTTTTGATTCTTGTTTAGAAATTATACTTATCCCTGAGATCTGAGGTTTGTTAAAAAAAGACTAAATGAGCTACTAAAGACAGAGTAGTTTGCTGGAAAATTAAGGCTAACAGTTTAATTCCATGAAACTGATTGCCCTCCTTCATTGACCACAGCTCTGATCCCTATTGTATTGACTATGTCTGAAAGTTCTTCTTACTACTTCTCCCTGATATAGAAATGCTTTATTAATGACAGTAGGGAGCTCACTTGAGAGCACCATCAAACTTTGCTACTGGGCCACATGATCTGTAGTTTGAATCCTTGCCTTCCAGTATCTACTATTAACAGGATTGTGAAATGTTACCCTTCTGTCTCATAATAATCCTCCTAATAAATATTTTAAATGGTAACTCTCTTAATAAAACGCTGTCACAATTCATAAATATAGATGTTTTGAGTGTTTAGTTTGGTTAAAAACATAGACTGGCTCTTATGGAAAATGTGTTGATTGTTATAAATGAAGGAACTTTGCCCTACATTTGTAGCAGAATAGCCTCAATAATATGTATTGAAGAATAAAAAAAATATAGCTAAGCATAGATACCAAGATCAGGTGGTATATACCCCTAAAGCTAATAGTAGAAATTTCATGTAGGATCTAGCACTTCCAATGCACCTATGTAGAAACCCAATCAGTTTATGTCAAAGATAGCATTACAAAAATATAGCCCCCTAAAAGCAGAACCAATGATGAAAATAATCTCTGGTTGGGCTGCATTTGCAAAAGGTATGACCTCTGGCCACATTGATCAAATCAGGCCAGGCCTATGTCCATACCTTCATTGAGTCCTTGTGGGGCCAAGCTGGTGAGCACATATATCCCAGACGTTCATAAACCACAAACTTGGTCCTGCAGCTTATAATATTTTTTTTTGCCTTTAAACATTTTTGCATTCATGATCACAGCTTCTTTTTTCCTGTGCCACATAAAAAGGAAATACACAAAATTGTGTACACCCCACTTAAAACATTCTGCTTAATCAAAGAATATACAACATTTTTTGGTTTAAAGGTCTTACTTTACATGGCTCCAATCCTTTTTTCCATGCCCACAGGCTTTTAAAAGATCACCCTAGGCTTATCTGTTGAGATGCTCTTAAGGATGCAATCTGCCTGAAGAATCTTTCAGTGTCTGTTCATTACCTTTGTGGTCAAAGACACATGATTATTATACTGTGTGCTAAAAGAAACTATTTCTTCTCTTCTATGCTCCCTCTTTTCTTTATGTTTCTTGAAAGCCTGATTAATGACTGCTCCTTTATACTAGCTTTTGAAAAATTATTTCTTTAGAACTATACCCTGATTATATTAGTTTTCATCCCTTGTATATGTGCATCGTAGTCTGCAGAATTGACCTTCTGTCACTGTTGTGTAAGTATGTGTTCCCCATCATGAGTTTAAAGTGTGCCTTCAAAAATGATTTTTACATTACACCAATGATCATCATGTTTAGCAGTTTCAATATGCAATGCCTAACTTGACAGTAACTCTACGACTAATGTACCTACCTAATCACTGTTTACATTGCTTTTTAAAGACATGTAAGTTATTTATTTGGTACACTGTTTTACTAAATAAGCTGCCAATATTTTTACTAGAAGCTGACAAATGGCGAACAATTTATTTTTGTAGCCTCCATAGTGGTCTGATTATGTCAGTATTTCTGTGCTCAAAGCTGTACATTTTTTTTGCATGGAAATATGTATTTTATTTTATTGTAGGCCTGTAATTTTTAGGAATAACGCACTGAAATCTGTCTGAACAAGAGTCTAGTAAACATTCCGGGTATGTTAAAATTTGAAACACGAAATCATAAAATATAATTTAATAAATAATCATAAAAAATAATAATATAATAATAAAATTGAATTCAATAATGTAATCAAACCAAAAACACTGAAATGTGAAATATAGCGCCAAGTTCGCACATCACTGAGCAAAGTCGCAAAATCGTTTTCAGTGTCTGATGACAAATTTCCCAATGAATCATTATCACTCAATTCTGCAAGTGGTTCTACTTTACTATCGCTGTTCTCTAGCTGGTCTAAAACCGCTTTTGACCTAAAGGGACGCTTTTTGGACGCCATTGACATTTCTCAGTTTCCAGGCAGAAAGAACAGTAAAAATGCAGGCAGGGTACATGACAAAGCACTAGGGACAAAATGTATGTGAAATGGGTGTGATACAGTAATGTTTTATTATGTGATTTTAGTGTATTTAGTGAATGTCACTTTTTCACATTTTTAAATTTCCCGGAGACGCTGCAGGAGGGACGGAGGACATTGCCGGAGACGCTGCATCGCGGGAGAGCAGGACAAGGTAAGTGCAGAAGAGATCCCGGAGCAGCGCTGCATGGTATTCCTGAGTGTAGCTCAGGGTTACTGCTTGTGGTACTGAAACTTTACCCCGAGCTACACTCGGGAATACCTCCAGGGAGGTTTAATAGTATTCACATAATATTTTTATTAAAAAAATTAAACCTTTTACTGAAATATTTTTGTATTACACACAGTAACCAACTTACTGTGTGAGGCAAAGTGAGACCAGCACAGTCAGTAACACGGGTTCATACTCCTGGGTCTAATTTGGTACACTACCATTCTTTCACCAAGGTTCAATATGACTGGAACCTTTAATCTGCAGATTGCGGTCAGGGGGTTTTGGGGGGGGGGGGGGGCGGAGAGAAGGAGCTAAACTTGGCTCAATCTTTAAAGCTAAAAAGCAAAAATTTAGGATTACATATACACATTATTTAACCACCTCCCGCCTGCCATATAAGGTATTGAGGGGCGCAAGGCAGTTCTCTCGTTCTGGGAGGACATCATATGATGTCCTCCCACTCTAACCACGCGTGTGCAGCTCCGGCAGTGCGGCGATCAGTGGTGTGCTGTGTCCCTCGGACACAGTGGATCACCGATCAATGGAAAGAGCCGAAGATGTCGCCTTGGTCATGTGATCAGCTGTGTCCTATCACAGCTGATCGCAGGTAAATAGGGCAATGCCGGTTATCGGCATTTCTCTTCTCACGAGCTGTCACCCTGACAGCTCACGAGGAGAGACGGTAATCAGCATTCTTCAGAGGGGACATGTACACTGATCATCAGGGCACTGATGATCAGTGTGCCCTGATGATCAGTGTAGCCCCAGCAGTGCCACCTGTCAGTGTCCATCAATGCCACCTGCCAGTGCCAATCAGTGCCTCATCAATGCCACATATCAGTGCCTACCAGTGCACATCAATGCCACATATCAGTGCCCATCTGAGCTGCCTTTTAGTGTCACCTATCAATGCCAGTCAGTGCCACCTATCAGTGCTGCCAATCAGTGCCGCCTATCAGTGCCAGTCAGTGTCGCCTATCAGTGCGCATCAGTGCTGCCTATCAGTGCCAGTCAGTGCTGCCTATCAGTGCCACATAACAGTGCCAGTCAATGCCACCAAACAGCATCAGTCAGTGCCGCATATCAGTGCCAGTTAGTGCCGTCTATCAGTGCCCATCAGTTCCACCTATAAGTGCCCATCAGTGCAGCCTATCAGTGTCAATCAATGCAGCCTCATTAGCGCACATCAGTGAAGGAGAAAAATAACTTATTTACAAAATGTTATAACAAAAACTAAGAAAAAACTTTTTTTTTTTTAAATTTTCAGTTTTTGGTTTGTTTAGCAAAAAAAATAAAAAACCCAGAGGTGATAAAATACCACCAAAAGAAATCTCTATCTGTCTCAAAAAAATGATAAAAAATTCATATGGGTAAATTGTTGCATGACCGTGCAATTGTCATTCAAAGTGTGACAGCACAGAAGCTGAAAACTGGCCTGGGCAGGAAGGGGGTATAAGTGCCCTGTAGGCAAGTGGTTAAAGTGTAACTCGGTATATAAATTAACCAGTTCAGCTAAAGAGAGAAGGGGTAGTCACAAGCTGATGGCTGCAGTAGCAGCCACCAGCCAGTGTCCATTTTCCTCCTGGCTGTAAAGTGAAAGAGATCTGGTGGCTATATAACTGCAGATCGCTTTCACAGTGCGGGTGGAGCAATCGCACCAGTGTAACTCCTGGGTTCTGCCACTCCATGAGGAGCCCAGGACCACATCAGAGGGTTTCAAAATGGCAGTAGGAGGAGACCGAGGAATATCCATTCCTTGATCTCTCTATCTGGAATGCAACTAGAAGTAACAAGGATTTCATCACTTCCGGTTTCAGAGCCTGCTTTTCATTGGCTGATACAGCCAAAGAAGCATGTAATTGAGCAAATCTCTGCCCAGTTACATACCTGGGAGGCAGGAAAGACATTAGGGTCAATGTGTTTTCTGGAGTGATGAATCATGCTTCTCTGTCTGGCAATCCAATGGACATGTCTGGGTTTGGCGGTTGCCAGGAAAACGGTACTTGCCTGACTGCATTGTGCCAAGTGTAAAGTTTGGAGGAAGGGGGACTATGGTGTGGGGTTGTTTTTCAGGGGTTTGGCTTGGCCCCTTAGTTCCAGTGACGGGAACTCTTAAGACATCAACATACCAAGACATTTTGGACAATTTCATGCTCCCAGCTTTGTGAGAACAATTCGGAGATGGCCCCTTCCTGTTCCAACATGACTGCACACCAGTGCACAAAGCAAGGTCTATAAAGACATGGATGAGTTTGGGGTGAAGGAATTTGACTGGCTTGCATACAGTCCTGACCTCAACCCAAGAGAACACCTTTAGGATGAATTAGAGTGGAGACTGTGGACCAAGCCTTCTCGTCTGACATCAGTGCCTGACCTCACAAATGCGCTCCTGGAAGAATGGTCAAACATTCCCATAGATACATCCCTAAACCTTGTGGACAGGTTTCCCAGAAGAGTTAAAGCTGTTATAGCTCAATATTGAACCCTATGGACCAGGGGTGGACTGACAACTTATGGGGCCCCTGGGCAATAGGGGATCATGGGGCCCCTGTGTCCTTGCCCACACTCAAAAAAGTCTATAAAAAAGGAACCAGGGGCATTTCATGGGCCCCCTACTGACCCCGGGCCCTCGGGCAGTGCCTGAGTGCTCAAATGGTCAGTCCGCCCCTGCTATGGACTAAGACTAGGATGCCATTAAAGATCATGTGTGTGTAAAGGCAGGTGTCCCAACACTTTTGGCAATAGTGTGTAGCTTAGCATGTTTCATGTCTGACACTTTTTCAAGAGCAGAAGGTGCATATATGGGACTACTACAAAGCTTAAGCAAGAAGGGATTCCAAAATGTGTTATGCCATAGGAGACAAAACGCCCCGCACCAGAAAAAAGAAAGGGGAAAAAAATCAAAAATTCATTAGGAGCGGGGTGATATCAGTTGATCACATCTGTCCCAGTAGAAAATCCCAAGGAGAGATACTCAAACATACTCCTTCAAAACTACAATAAGGCCACTGGATATAATATGTAGAAAATCAAATGTGCAAAGTTTATATTTACATAGTGCTAGGCTGGCGGACCATAGGGACAGACATTTATAGTGCAGAAGTACAAACCTAGTTTCACTCGTCCATATATATATGTGTACTGAAAACATATCCAGGGATCCCCCAGTTGACTTCCAAAGGAGCAGATGTAGTACATGCAAGATTTGAAGGAAACTTAGGAAGCATCAAAAGTTTATTGTCTGATTAGATGAACTGGTTAACACTAGCTAGTAAGCAGTCGAAGCTGCAGGGGTTATAGGATGGTCTGCAGGAGAAGATGATAAGAAAACTTTGAGATTGCAAGTCAAAATCAAACAGCTTGGTTAGCTTAGTAGGATAAAAAGAGGCATAATTAATGTGATGCTTCCACAGTTTTTGGACACTTGCAAAAAAAATTGCATTTTGAAAGGCAAGCTAAACTGAGCCTATATCAAATTACTATGTCAAATGTTTTACACCCAACATGTGGCATCTTTCACGGAGATTATGGCTATCATCATCATCTGTGAGGAGTTGGCTCCTGTTTGCTCCCAAATTCATCATTTCTCTGCAGCTTTTGCTGGCATCATAACAAACAGATATGCCAACAAAGGTACTTGATATGATTGCCAATTTTTTAAACATCAAACACTAAAAAAGGTTGCTAATGCTCATTTGGGCTTGTCCGTGATTCTGGAATTTGAACTAAACCTTTAACTCATGATCTGCTGGGTCTGAAGCCTCGATCAATGGCCTAATGTAGCATAGTTTGCAATAGAGATTTTCTCATGCCACCCCTTTATCTTTTTGAAGGGAGTATTCACCTCTGCATGTGTTTTTGTCACTGAGCAGTATGCAAAATTTTGTGCCACAAAAATGAAAAGATTATCATTTATGAACGTGAATCAGGGATGGATTATCCATATGTTTGAGCCGCCTTTACTTTATAGCAATGAAAACATCCACCACTACTGACATTTTCTTTGTTACCCACATGCTACTATAATAATATGATCCAGATCCATTTCTACCCCTGTCCTCATAGCTAGCTACTGATGGTGCTACCTCTACTTCAAAAACTAAGGAAAAAAATGTGTCAATCAAGATTGAAGGAAAACAATGTGCCTATCATGCATAATTGCTGGTGCTCCAGTGAACAAAAAAAATTCTAGTTCATATTTTTTTCATTCAAAAATTGCCTGTCAATAAACCTGACATCAAAAAATTATGAAAAACTTTACCTGAAGATACCTCATTAAGAAAATACTCACTTACCCTGTTTTATTTTATGAATATTTTTCACAGATATATAAAGGTGTATAAATGAGGTGTGTGGGGAATGGTCATGCTTCCCCCCCCCCCCTACAAATAATTGCTTAAAATCTGGAGAATTTGATGACCAGGTAAATGATACATATTCATACTGTATCTCTTATACTCGTGTCTTAATTACATAAAAGAAAAACATAAAAGAAACCACAATGGAGGAGAGTAATGGCAAGAAAGATGCCTTTTAATTGTACCCAAACTTGAAAGAGAGAAATTGCCTACAATATTAGATAATGAAAAGTAGTTCAAGCAAAGAAATCATTGAAAGGGATTGCTGAAAAGGCACAATGTTTCGCCTGTGGGTGTTAGGTTTCATGATTCCCTTCACTATGAATAATACACATTTATCAATGCTAAGACTTAAATAGCAGCAGTGGAAAACACCATCAGCCAAAGCTGCCTCTTGCATTCTCTGTTTTTCATTGGTGTTTTTTATTCTGCCTGACATAAGTTATTGCATTAAAACAACAGATCATGGCATTTTGTGTAAGAAAAAGTGATAAGCTGCCTCTTCTGTGCATAGTATTGTCCTTAGACTCAGCACTTTGTTCGCAAAAGCATTAATTTTTATTGGAGCAAAGCAAAAAATGGTACTTGTTTGTCACAGCACTGTCTAAAAACATTTTTACTTCCATGATATTAAGTACATTTTGCTTAAATCAGAATACAAGGAAGATTATTTTAATAGACTTAGGATAGAAGCACCAAAGATTCTGTGCACTTGGGTATGCAGCCATGTTGTATATGTTTGTTTTCCTAGATATATTTAGCATATGCATTCAGAAATGCTGAAATTTTAGAGTTCATGTATACACTACTACCTCGACATAACTGGGTCATTCTCTGGAAAACGTTATTCTGCTTACTCCTGCCATTCCAGATTCTTATATGTCAATCTAAAACTGTACACCAAAACAGCATGTTGGATTTTGCATTATTATCACATTATAAAACATACATATATATTAAACCATTTCTGTGTAAATTATACACAACAACTCCTGGGGTCACAGTCCAGTCATCACATGGTATGCATTCCTTACTGACTTCCCAGTTTGGCATTGTCTATGAATGAGCCAAACTATTTACACCAGAACATAATACAAGTAGTATTTTCATATGTTTTACTGTTATTTCTTTTTAATATTTTGTTTTTCTCTGTATCTGCAGAAGTATCTTTGAAACATCTTTAAAACTAGCTGTAATACTCTACATCACTGTCTCTCTGTCCAGAACAAAAAAAAAGAGAGAGAGCACACACATCTGCCCTAGTGTAACTCAATTTTATTATATGAATCATACAAACTTCATTCAATGCACTCACATGGGAGTGAGAAACAGACAGGCACATTAAGATGTTCCAAACTGCCTCCCCTGGATTGCCAAAGTAACTGTTCTGAAAGGAGAAAGATCCCTGAAGAATTGGAAGTCAGCCAAGGTATCATTAGCTCAGTAGAGCTGCTCCCACTGAGCAGAGCATGCAGGACCCACTGCTCATGCGCCCGGTCCAGCCGGAGCCGCACATGGATAGAGATGGAAACCACCAACAAGGCGAGGGAGGGGAAGGGACATGCCAACCGTTTGCTATGACTATGCATTTAAGAGGTGTGGCCTCCTTTCCAAAGCCACACCCACTCAAGCTGAACTATGTTTTTAAAGCGCCACCTCCTCCCAAATGAGAGACCTGTCCAGGAGAGGCAAGCAGCAAAATGTCTTATATACACTACAAAAGTGGTGGGTTATATGAGCAATCATATTTACATTTAAAAAACATGTAGATAAGACTCTTACTCCATATTATAAAAACAAATTTGAAAACTGCCCCTCTCAGGCCTGCACACAG